GGCCTTCGTAACACCGTAGGAATTTATTTCCTTTAAAATACCTATTTTGCCCTTTTAAAATACGAAGTAGGAAAATCTAAGACATTACCACCACCGTGAAAATGGCTAAGGCAAATATCAAAGACTCACACAGCGGAAGACTATCTTTAAAAGAAGTCAACTTAAAAAGTCAGACCAAACGAAAGTAAAAATCAAACCAAACGAAAGTAAAAGTCAAACAAAGTCAACCTACAACTTGGAACCATTGTAGGCCCTTAAAACCAAACAATACTAAAAAAAACTTAGCGTTAGTCTCATGATCAGAATAAAATAAATAATATTCAAAACAAATAAAACACATCATATTCCAATGAGAACTAAGTATGATTTGCTCTTCACTCATGCCCATCATGAATATGTTTCACCACCTATAAAGCTTCTCTCTACTTGTCCCCATACTCGCCATTAGAAATGGGTCGTCGTAGGGCCAAGGTAAAGACAAGGCCAAACAAACATACAAACACACAATCAGCAATGCTGAGTACATAAGCGTAATAAAAAAACACTAACATGCTTCCATCCTATCATCACACAACTTACCGTGTAGCACCTGTTTACAAGCATACAAAACATTCAACACCTAACTAGACAAATACCAATGTTCATTTAATTTTGATTACACATCGAACGGGTTTCCAACCAAATCCCTGCCAGGTAAACTACATACACCGGGAGCTAACCGGGTAGGCAAATGTCACATGAAGTGACTGGACGTCCTGCGCATAAGATAAGTAAAAAGGAAAATACAGCGTCCTGTACTCCCAGTAGAAGTCATGGTTAAATATAAAACCCCATAACTCCCCCATATGTTCATACTCAAGGTATATACGTTCCAAGATTTTTGGTGTGTAATCTCTTTCACTTTACGTTGTTTACATGTTATTATACTTGGTGATGACTCTTAAATTATAACACAATCAAACACTATAATTCATTCAAGCAATCAAACATACTAATTTAATTCTTGAACAATTAGTGACCACATAAATTTAATAGTTGAACCCTTTTTAATCTACCTCAGTGTCAAAGACATCTTAAACACATAATGCGCCGCAAATCCTATCCCTTGGTGTTAGAAACACCTTAAGTGCACTTAAGCACCGCAATATAATATATTCCTGTGTACTAAGACACTTAAATAGCTCCTTCCTTATGCTTATAGCATCAATAAACATTTAGTTTAAAATAAAATTCCCTTTTCATATTCCAAACCAAATTAAACATTTAGTTTAATTAAACATGCTCTCTATCATGCCAATAATAAAAGTGTGGTTCACAATCAACATACCAACATAATTCATTCCAATCACCAATTCACCATAAATAATTCACACATCACAAATCATTCACCAACATCAATCCAATCAACAAATTCCAATCATCACCTACCATGATACTACTTGGAATTAACTAAACAAAGCCTAGCATGCTTCTACATATTCAAGTACTTACCAAGTACGCGAACGTACCTTGAATATGACCTCAAAATTGCCACGACTAAATAAAATCACTCACTTGAAAGTCTCCTACAAACCAAAATTACAAAGAAGTATTAATACCTCTTCCACACAAATTTCCAGCAATATATACACTCTTTAAATCATTCATAAACCCTCTAAAACAAGCTGAAATTTTATTTAAAACCCTTACTTTTATTCCTAATTAATGGGAAATTAAAAATCCTTCCAAGAATCATAATTATAGGTTATATATAAAAATTCCAGCATTATCAAAACTTGTAAAAATGCTGTAATTGTGTTTTAAAATACTTATTTCAACAGTTTTAATCAACCACAATTGAATTCCATCAATAAACATTAATTTAGAAACCTAGGGTTTTCAATTTGGGGCTTTTTAATTTAAAACCAAATCTGAAAATTTATATATATAATACTTATCATCAAACATTTTAAAATCATCACAAAAACCCAAGAACAATAATTAGATTTAGGCTAGATTGAATTAAAAATCAAAAATTAAAATAATAATTTTTTTGAAAGGTGCGTACGAACCACCATGGCTGGGCGGCTATCGTGCGCCCGCCTGGTGGCCGCTGTTGCTGGCGTGCGCCGGTGGTGGTGTCCGGCCGGTGTGTGGTGGTGTGTGTGGGTGGTGATTGAAAAACATTAAAAGAAAATAAGGGGAAGGAGAAAAATTAAGGGGAAAGTAAAATAAGAGGAGAGAGAGAGTTTACCTTTGGGTGCACTCCACCTTAGGCATATGATGGGTGTTTATACCCCATCTCAATATCCTTCTTACTTAAAATTCTTTACTACCCTTAATGGTCCATTTCCTAGTTAAACTAGTATTTTGACTTTCCTTAAATACGATTGACTTTAAAAATTATCTTTTTATAAAATAATATGCCCCAATATTTCCAAATCATAAGATAAAATATTTTCAAGATTATTAAATAACTAAAAATAAAATTTTAATTATAATAATTCTTTTTAAATTAATAAAACCATAAATAATTCATTTCGAATTATTTAAATACTTTAAGAAATACTTATTTAAATTAAAATACGTATAAAAATGCGGGGTATTACAGCCTTACACTTTTTTTTTGTCAAAAAGTTATAATTTAATATTATATCTCCCCCATCTCATGGTCCCGACCCAAACCCACTATTTTTGTTTTACAATATTTTCTCTTATATTCATTACTATTCAATAAACTATTAACCTCGTTATCTTTGTTTTACAAATATTTAATACTCCACTTACGTCTTATATATTTAAGTCAATTAAATTGCAAACTATATGCCCTTTGTAACACTTTAAAAAAAAAAAAAAAAAAAAAAAAAAAAAAAAAAAAAACACAAAGGGAGTAACATTAATTAAAATGACTAAGGCGAATAATCTAAAAAATAAAAAATAAAAAATGAGGGTAATGATATATGTAACCTTTAAGGCTATATATAAGCATTAAATCTACTTCCTAAAATGAAATTAAGTTGGGAATTCATGAAAAAATCACGCGCAAATTGGTGTAATTAATGTTAATTTATGCTTAATACTACCTCTGTTTCGTATTATTTGCAACATTTTCCAAAAACAGATGATACACATTATCTGCAACAAACTAAAAGTTTCCTCTTTTAGTAATTTTTTTTGTAAAATTACCACCATACCCTTACTTAATTGTACTTAACTTCAATAAACCACATATTAACTTATTAACCTAAATTAATTTATCCCTAATTAAAACCCCTACCCACATTCTTTCTACTTCACAACCACATCCACCACCAACATCACTAACTTTTCTCTATCCTCCATCTCAACCACCACCGGTAGCAGCAGCAACATTATTCTCTCTCTTCTCCCTCTTCTCTCACCACCACCACACCGCCACCACTCGATCGATTTGCCGCCCGTTCTCATCATAGTCTCCGCCACTTCCACCTTGTTAGTTCGTCGCCGCCTCCTTTTCCCTTTTCAAAGTTTTCAACTCGCAATTTAGGTAAGGTTCGATGATTTTTTTGTAACCAATAAGGGTAAGGTATTCATGGTTGTACATTTCCGATCTTTGTGGTGGCAAGGTGGGTTTCAGATCTAAGTGGTGGTGAGGTGGGGTTTCAATTCGTTGGTGGTGGTGAGTTAGGGATTTGGTTAGTTGGTGGTGGCTGGTGACCGGTGACGTGGGGTTTCGGTTCGTTGGTGGTGGTTGGTGACGTGGGGTTTCGATTTGTTGGTGGTGATGAGGTGGGGTTTCGATTTTAGGGGTAGTGATGTGGGTTTCAGATCTTGGTGGTAGTGAGACCGTGAGAGGGTGGTTAAAGGGTGGGGTGTTGCTGATGTGAGTTGGTTGGGTGGGTTTTGGGTGGTTGTGGTGGGGTTTCAGATCTAAGTGGTGGTGATCGGTGGTTACAAGGTGGGTGCTGGTGGTGTTTAGTTTCTCTCTCGTCCAATCACATGCCCCTCATTTTACTAATCATTGCTTAAGAAATGTTGTCTTGGGGATTGCGCACTAAGGTTGTTACAGATAATACGAAACAGAGGTAGTATTTTCTATTGATGCATATAATCTTAGGTCCAAAATCATGTCTATGACTCTTGATAATGCAACTTCTATGACATTTTGTACAAATTTAGTTAAAGCACAATTGACCGACTTCATATTAGATGGAGATGCACTTCATATTAGATGCATTTGTCATGTTCTTAACTTATGTGTGAAGGATGGAACACAAGCAATTAGTCCATTTTATCACAAAATTAGAAATGCTATTATGTCTATTAACAGCTCTAACATGAGATTTCAGGAATGAAAAACTTTTTGCAGGAAACAAAGGATAAAGGCTATTAAAATATCAACGGATTGTGCAACTAGGTGGAACTCCACCTACGAAATGTTGAGTAGGGCAATTGAGTACAAGGCTCCATTAACATTTTCTTATAATAAAAAATTTCCACAATTTGCTTTACTAGATGATGATTGGTCTAATTGTGAAAAATATATGCAGTTTTTACAATTATTATATAGTATGGCACATTGTTTTTCTTCTGTTTATAATCATTGTGCTCATTCTTTTCTTAACAATGCATGTTTACTTGCACAACTATTTGATGAACACCGATTACAACACGATTATGATGGATATCTTCCATCAATGGAAGAAAAATGGCGTAAATATTACACTACTATTCCTATGATTTATACTTTTGCTTCTATATTAGATCCAAGGCAAAAATATGATGGCACATTTTTATTAATTGATATTTATTTTCAATGCATGAATGGTGGCCCGACACGACACGGCCCGCGAAGTTGCAGGCATGGCATGGCACGACCCTACACAAGTCACGCATGGCCCGCAGTGGCCCGGCCTGGCACGGTGCCCACCTCTAGTCTCTAGTCTTGATAACTTAACTAAGATCCACGTGGCAACAGTGGGTCCACAACAGATTTCCCAGCCGACGTGGCATCTCCAAAATCACCCAATCCACCAAAATTTCTCTCTTCTCCATAACGATAACCAAGCACAATCACCATTGCTACTCACTTCTTTTCCGCCATGGCTGCTTCTGCTACAGCTTCAGCTTCAGCTTCCTCGTCAACACTCTTCTCAACTTTGGAACCTCAATTTTCTCTCTCCTCCAACCGCACCCCCTTCCACTCCAAACTCTCTCTTCCTCGCCGTCAATTCCGCCTACCTAACCGCCCTCTCACAGTTTCCGCCGCCGTATCTTCGCCGGCTCCGGTGGTTTCAAATTCTCCCGGCGATTTCGTCTCCTCTATTCTCTCCAAGGTTTGAATTTTTTACTTCTCTGTTCTTCCCTTTTTTTTTTTTTTTTTTTTATTTGATCTTGTTTGTTGTGATTATTTGTTATTAAGTTATAAATAAATGTGAAAAATGAGGGCGCCCAGTTAATCTGTTTATCAAATTGCAAACTTGTAAATAAATGGCCAAAATTTTACAGTGTTTATGGTAGAAACGCTGACACCATTAGCTGTTTTACAAAAAATGTGCATTGTTCATGGTACAAATGCTTTTATTTTTTTTACTATATATTTACAAATTTGCCATCTTGATAAACATCTAAAACTTGTATTTTAATGTGATCAAGTTATTGTAGTTCTTGTAATTGTGCTATTTGACGAGCGTTACATTGAATATGAAATTCGTGATTCTGGTGACATTTTGCAGCGAACCAGCATAATACAGATGATTCTAAAGAGATTAAAATGATGGTTTTGATTAGTAAGCTGAAATTACAGAAAATTAAAGATAATTGTCACATATATGTCCCTTTTCTAAGATTATTTCTGAACTTATATGACATGCCTGAATTTATTTTTTTGTTGTAAGGTGAAGTTGGTAGCCCTTATTTGAACTTGTAGGCTCTTTTCTGAATATATCTTTTCTGAATCTTATTTATTTGAGGTGAAAAGATCAAAGCCAAATTGGCGCCTAATAATGCCGGTGATCTCGTCTCGGACATCCTCTCTAAGGTTTGAATATGTTTCTGTTCCCCATTTTACCTAGATTTTTCCTTTTTGGTATGAAGTGCTATTGTGTGTTTATGTAATCGGGTGGTTGAATTCATGGTGAGAATGTGAGATTGCACACGGTATAAGTGTGGACTGTGGAGGAAGAAAGAGGAGTAAGAGACAATGAGAAAACAGTGCTCACTCTACTCAGTTATTGTACTTCTTGTAATTTTGCTTACTGATCAGACACAATGTTAGTTGAGACGAACTACTACAAGACGTAATGAATTGTAGTGAGTTCCTATAAGGACAATTTGGGTCTACCCACAATATACCTAGCAAATTAACCCCTGTTATTTTGATTTAAGGCTAACACTTCAAAAGCAAATTAATAATACAAGCAAAACAGAAAAGAAGTTGGTTTTTACAAACTGAAAGTACATTTCCCAACAGTATATTTGCTGGCTGTGGTTTGAAGGAAAATAATTTGGGCTAAATAATTTTTCAATAAAAAGTATCCATTTTCAAACTTCATTTCTCTTGTTTGGTTCCGTACTAGAAATATTGGAAAGGAAGAATGTAGATGCAAGGGAGGAGAGAAGGAGGATATGGTAAGGAATGGGGAGTAAAATGTGGCGTGTGATCTTCCTTCTTCAGAAAGTATCTAATAATCTCCTCTATATATGAAGTAGACTGAAAACTTGAGGCTGTATGATGTACTCCGTACCTTGTATGAGGTCAATATTGCAAGTTTGCGTAGTTTGGTGGTAGTAATTTTTAGTGTGTTTCCCTACAGGTCACGGAAACAGATCGAGGTGTTTTATTAACAAAAGAAGAGCAAAAGGAAGTTGGTGAAATTGCTGAAGAACTACAGAAATATTGTGTTGATGCTCCAGTAAAATGTCCTCTCATTTTTGGAGGTAAATACATTTAAGAGTTGTGATAGTATTGTCTTTCTCAACACAGAGACATTTTAGATTTTTATTTGGTGTTTTTCAGCATCCTATGATAATCAAGTACTTTTTTTTGTATCTGCTATTGATGTTCCAGTCTAATTGCTGAAAAGATGTACAATGACAAGTTAATCTGCGCTTTTGGGAAAAAGTGGTAGAATGATGCTTGTCAGTTGTTACTTTGTAGCCTTATAACTAGAGAATGTTTGAGCTTGAGAGACAGATTTTGAATGTTTTTAACAAACTCACTCAAAACAAATGTTCAGCATAGCAGCAACTATCCTTTCACGCGTTAAAACTGTTTTTAGCATAAAATAGCATGCAGAAGCAGAAAATATCATCCTAACCTCAGCATAGTGTGGTACTGCTGTGGGATAGGGTCAACTATCCTTTCACACATTAAGCTATTTTTTTGCATAAAATAGCATGCAGAAGCAGAAGATATCCTCCCAATCTCAGGGTAGTGTGGTACTGCTGTGGGATAGGGTAATTTATGTAGCTTGCTTTTGGGGCTTTCAAGTGTCGCTTCTTGCTTGATTTGGAGATTCAAAGTAATTGTGCTAATATGTACATTAATAGAAGTGTCAGATTGAAGACAGCTTGCCCATGTACCTTTTACTAGTCAATTTATTTCCTACGTATATAGAATAGTTCTCGTCAAAAAATAAAGGTATGTAGTTCAGTTCACTTTTGAAGTGCAATCACATTCTGTTCTTGTGGCATAACAGACTCTAACACGTCTCTTGTTCAGCATACTTATAAATGGTTGATGGATAATTTCAGTTGCATTTTACTGTGTGTTTGTATAGGAATTTTAAAAAGAAGAGAAGGGAAAGGGAGAGGAGAGAAAACTATTCTTTTCATCTAGATTATACTAAAGATTTGGGAAAGGAAGAAGAGGGAGGTATTTGTAATCTAGAAACTAATCTTTTCGTACTAGAGAAATTTCATCTAGAAACTATTCTTTTCATCTAGATTATACTAAAGATTTGGGAAAGGAAGAAGAGGGAGGTATTTGTAATCTAGAAACTAATCTTTTCGTACTAGAGAAATTTCATCTAGAAACTATTCTTTTCATCTAGATTATACTAAAGATTTGGGAAAGGAAGAAGAGGGAGGTATTTGTAATCTAGAAACTAATCTTTTCGTACTAGAGAAATTTCATCTAGAAACTATTCTTTTCATCTAGATTATACTAAAGATTTGGGAAAGGAAGAAGAGGGAGGTATTTGTAATCTAGAAACTAATCTTTTCGTACTAGAGAAATTTCATCTAGAAACTATTCTTTTCATCTAGATTATACTAAAGATTTGGGAAAGGAAGAAGAGGGAGGTATTTGTAATCTAGAAACTAATCTTTTCGTACTAGAGAAATTTCATCTAGAAACTATTCTTTTCATCTAGATAACAGTTTTTTCCTTCCTAATCTATCTAAATTGAGATGTATTTGTTTAATAAGAAAGGGCAGAAGAATGCTTCTAGAAGAATGGTCAATCATGTGAACATGCGATGCTGTTTGCCTCAGTCTTCCTCCTGTTCTTTAACTACTCTCCTTTCTCCAAATGCCCTCTATCCAAACATGATGAACATGCGATTGACTGATTGTTGGAATTTGGATAATTGGCATGAAAATTCAAATAAGTAACATGTATATTTTAATGCTGCAGAGTGGGATGTGGTTTATTGTTCAAATCCAACTTCACCTGGTGGTGGCTACCGGAGTGCAATAGGACGTCTTGTGTTTAAGACAAACGAAATGATTCAAGTTGTTGAAGCTCCTGATATTGTGAGGAACAAAGTATCCTTTTCTGCTTTTGGTTTCCTTGATGGTGAGGTATCTTTGAAAGGTAAGTCTTGATTAAGCAATCAATACTTGATCATGTGTTTATAAGCTACTGTAATATTCTGTAGATAGTAGTTAGTTTCCAGTCCAAATTCCAAGATTCCCAACCATCTATGCAATTTGATATGAGGCATCAATGTCTCAAAATTTCATCTTGAATCTTGTTCTATAGCTTAATCCTATAGATTTTCATGTCTAATTGCCAAAATTCTTATTTGTACAGGTAAGCTGATAGCTTTGGATGAGAGTTGGATTCAGGTTATATTCGAGGCCCCTGAATTGAAGGTAGGAGGACTTGAATTTCAGTATGGTGGACAGAGTGAGGTCAAGCTGCAGATTACTTATGTAGATAAGAAAGTCAGATTGGGGAAAGGTTCTAGAGGATCATTGTTTGTTTTCCAAAGACGTTAATGAATTATGTTATTTATTTATATTCTTATCTAATACACAACTGCCAAGAAGTCTTGTACTGCAACTTGGGTTGATTCTTTCGGCTTATAAGTGCGAATCACTGGTCCTGCAAACTTCGGTTGCCATTTCTGATGCATAAGTCCGTTTTGACAGTAAACAACCAGCATGCCGATTTTCATCAAGAGATGCTGACTGTTAACAGAAACCGAGCTACAAAGTATGAACTGTAGCAATGGTCTTTGTATCATATTTGAACAATCTGGATTTTATTTTCAGCTGAGGAATGTATGTTTAGCAGGTAATTAATTCCTCCACTTTGTGAAATTTGAAACTACCAAGAAAGTTCCCAGCTCCTATGAAATTGCGATTTGCCAACCAAACAAGAGTACATAAATCTACTTCCTATAAAAACAAACATTCCATGCATTTATACTTCAATCAAATCTACTTGGAATAGAGGAAGTGTGAATTCAAGAGAGTTTGAAACTTGTATTTGGTATGTAGGTTAAATGGGAATGAGAATTTCCATCCCATGTCATTAATGTCCCTAATTTGTTTTGGGTCGTTTCCACAAAGCCTATGGACTTTGACGGAGTTTGATTTATAATTCTATAATCCTGACTGTTTTTTCCTAAAAAAAAAAAAAAAAAAAAAAAAAAAAAGGCCCCTAATATCTATTGTCGACTTTATTTTTATAGACTTGGAAAGTTGGGATTAGATAGCTTCTATACGTACAAGAAAATTGACTTTATAATTTTTGAGAAATTTACATGTCAGCCAAACGAACATTAATTATATCAATATTTTCTATTTATATGGTCTTTATAAGTAAAGATGATTTAAGTAAATGACTTCATATGGTGAACAACACAAGGTAGCCTATCAAAATTTCCAAACTTGTAATATGTTGTAACTTTGTTCCTCAAAATAGGTTTCCAAAAGAAGAGAATCGGAATGTAAATCTATTAAAGATTTGAGCTTAAATTTTTATACGAGTACACGGTTTTTTCAAAATTAGAGAATCGAAATGCAAAATCTATTAAGATTTGAGCTTAAATTGTTATAGAGTACACAGTTTCAAGAATATATAAGAGCATTGGAATGCAAATCTATTAAGATTTGAGCTTAAGTTGTTATACGAGTACACGGTATTGGGAAACCGTGAAGGAAAAAAAACCCCATTCAAAAGAGTTCTCTAGTGGAATTTTGAATTTGATTCAATTTCACGGCTGTGAAATGCTAACTTTTCAACTAGTTTGAATCTTGCTTGGTACTCCGTATACGAAGTATAATATTTCAATTCATGTTTTTTTTTTAATTTTTTTTTCTTTAATGGTAAGATGAAGGACCTCTCACAGGTAAGTCAATCCAACTCCACAGGTTAACGCTTGAGAGTAGAGGGAGAAGATAAGAGAATCCCTCAACTCCCAAGCATTTTTGTTGTTTATGGGATTCAAACTCATTACCTCAAAATTACAAGGTGAGTTTCTCACTCCGTATATTTTAATACTTGATCATATAATCGTATGAACCACAATGTAAATACTACTCCCTCCGTTTTTAAATATTTGCTTCACTTTTTATTTTCGGCCGTTTTTGAATACTTGCTCCATTTCCTTATTTGGAAAGCTTTTACAATATTTAATTCATTTTTCTCAACTAGTGGATCCAACATAATTCGTATTTTAGTAATTTTATATTCTCTCCTCCGATTTTATCAACTAATTTTTTTTTTACAATTTTTTATTCTTCCACCTACCCCACTATCTCTATATTTATTACTTTGAGCAAGTATTTAAAAACGGGGGAGTAATACCTAAAAAAAAAATAATAAATAAAACCTAGTACCTAAATATGGAATTGATATTTCTGGAAACTATTGTTTATGCCGTTTTGGACAACTCTGGAAACTACTGGGTACTTCACAAGACTACAAGAGCTCTCTTGATTTCTCTCTATTTCTTTCCTTCTCAACATCATCTCTTAGTCCTTCTCTCTGTCTCTCTTAACTTTGTTCAACTTCTCCATCGATTTTCAAACATCATCTGCGATTATCATTGCGTTCTTCTGCAATTTTCTTCTTAAGGTACGTGCAATTTCATCATTATAGTGTTTACTTAAGCTTTAATTTCAATTGCAGCTTGAATATTGAAGCCTTTGAATCTCTCCTTCCTTCTTTTTCGCGCAATTTCTTTCGATATTTGAATAATTAGCAAAAAATTTGTATAAAACACCATTAATCATGAGTTTGTTTGATGATCTGTTGTGAATTTTGGTATTTTGGCTTTAATTGCATTCCTAGGGTTTGGCTCTTAATTGATTTTTTAAAATTATTTCAATGAAATTATTAGGATGAATTGGCTTCTTGTAGATTGTTTGAGTTTGGAGGCTATTGGTTTTTGTGTACCAATGTAGGCGTTAGAGAGAGAAACTTTGAGTTCGTTCATGAATGGTGAATAATATGATTGTGGAATCGATGTTGTTGATTACTGAATTTGGAATTTTCATGCTAAGAATAGCTAGGATTTCCAATTTTGAAAGACTATAGTGAGATTGAAGGGGTAGCAAATCAACGATTAAATAATTCTTCCTGAGAAAATGTAGTGGTAGGGTTTTTGAATGATTGTATGATTTGATTGTGAAGATGGCGTCGTTACTTGCTGATTTTGGAGCTCAAGAAATACTATTGTGAGTTCAAGGGAGGAGAAAATTAATAAAGAGTGAATTGATCATTTGATTGAAATATAGTGACGGAGTTCTAATATAGTTTTAACTTGTGGATCTAAGCTAGTCCTTACAAGAATCCAGAGGTCCAGACCTTCTTTTGCATCATATAAGACATCTCTCATATCTCATCTGGTGTCCTGCCTCATTTTGATTCCGAGGTATTGATATGGCGAAATAAGAAAAGGCGTGATTGCTACAAATAAGTTAGTTGTGGGATAGACAAACAATAACTTTACACTGCCAATGAAGTTTTTGCCAAAATTTTGTTGACACTAAAGGTTTTAGCATTTAGACTCCTTGGGCATGCTTTGTAGCTAATGAGCCTCAAACTGATTCACCAAATATAAAATTAAAAAGTAAATGAATTTTCACTAGGTTCAGATGTAATTCCCTGAGGATCATCCTTTGGCTTGGGAATACAAATTTCATATCATTTGTTGGACAAACTGATCATGTTAGTAAAAAACTGCTAATTAGGTTAACAGTCATAGCTATGCAGTGTTTTAAGTTTAAAGCCAACTTATTAGGTTAACAGATTTAATATTTTAGTGGTTTCAACTTTTTAGTTCTGCTTTTTTTGTGATATTATGATGTAGTTGACACAAACAAAATTTGGTTTGGCTATAGTAAGCCTATGTGGATGGTATTTTCGAATTTCATGCATATTTTGATTTACATTAAACAAAAAGTATTTCGGAAATAAATTGTGTGAGAAACAAGAAAGGCAATGCTTACTCAAGAGCTTGGAAAAAAAAAACCAAATAGTGAAACATGGGATCATGATAAAAGAACATCATTTTAGCATTTGATAAAAACATAAATTTAGGGTATGTTCTTTTAGTTCTAATTGTGTGTTCCATCATGCGCTCGTGTATAATAGTATCTAACTAGGACTGCGATGCACGGTTTTAACAATGAATTATAGTATCTTTAACATATATTGAGAGGACCACACAACTACTCGTTCAAATAAAAATAAAAAAAAAAAAAAAAAAAAAAAAAAAAAAAACCACTCATAAAAAAAAAAAAAAAACCCCTCATAAATTCATAGATAATTAAGAGAAGATTAATCTAAAATCTTTTAAGGTAAAAGAAAAGGATTAATTAAATGAGAATCAACCATAGGAGAGTATGAGTTTAATAGAGAGGAAGGAGTAATGTATTTTCAAAATTAACAGTTAACTTAAAGCCAATGAAATTATTAAGAATATGAAGGGTATTTATTAGGGGAGTGCATGTAGTCCACATTTAGACTCAGTCCATTCAAATTTCCAACGAAAATAAGGGTAATACTCAGTTTTTTTTTAGCTAAAAGAGCGTTACCATATACCATATTTGAATTGAAAAAGGTTAGATGGGCTTAGCATTTGAGCGGGAAATCTTTTCATGAGGTAGTGCCGCGTGTACAACTTTTTAAAAAGATGACATTAGCTGTTGCTATTTTAGTATTAGTTATAGATTTGTAGAAGAATGGGATGTTAAGTGTATGTAGAGGACAGTAATGTGAATAGCTTATTGTGATCAGCACAAAGTATGACTTGAACAATTTTCACTTAGATCACATCTGTAAGATCTACTTTAAAAGGAGACCATATTCCCATATCCCAAGAAAGTGATTTACCATATTGATTTTGCTTAGGGATCTTTTGATTCAGGATTTTCAGGAGAGGGGGATTGTGATGTATGTGAGATGTTTGATAAATGATATCTGATTATTGTGGAGAACTTAAGACATACTTTTATCTTTTTTTTTCTTCTTCTTTTTTAATCAATGTTGAGATTTAATTTCTACTAATGGAATATGTAGGATGTCGGAATATGAAAATGTTATTGCTGGAAAGTTGAGGTTGAAGGGAAAAGCACTTGACGTGAAAGCAGGTGGAATTACGAAGAAAAAGAAACAGAGAAAGAACATTGAACGGTTTATAACTGAAAAAACTGCCACTGGTATATTTGTGTTTTCCTAGTCCCCTTATATTTCACTTACTTGGTATCTTTTTCTTTGATGGATATTTTCCTTTCATTTTTGCTTCCTCAGATTAAAAAGGAGAGGGAAATTTTAACATGTAACGCAACCTTTCACCTTTTTTGAAACAATTACATTTTTGTAACTTCTACTTTTGAGAATTTTGGTATGATGTGCTTTATACTGTGCATTGATATGTTTGAACTCTTCTATGAACCATGATGCTAATATATATATTTATGATTGTCAAGTATATATTGTTATTTCACTTCTAAGGCATTCTTATCTTACTAGGATTGAAGTGAAGCTTGAAGAAAGAGGAATTGCAGATCTAGGATCTAATTACACCATACCTCGCATTGGTGTATACTTTTGATCACCAAACCTCCTTGTCTAATGCTGTTTCAATGCTGTCATGACGTTGCCAACTCATGTATGTTATACCTATCTACCAATATGTTGCAAGCCTGCAACTCAATGTCAAACATGTTTTCTTTCTATGAATGCTTACAAATTGGTGCATCCATTGCTTCATTTTTCCTGGATTCCTTGGAAACCTACTCTGCATTGGTTGCCTACCAAATGGGAATATGGGATATCAGTTACCTACTTACCTTGATGACCAGTTATATTACGGCCTGTATTTCTCTGTCTTCCCAAAGTCCACTGCATTGATTGGTTTCTTGGAACAAGTTGTTAAGTTTGCTTGTAATTCAATTATTATTTCATTCCTTTGGGTTTATCATTATATGTTCCCAAATTTAGCTCAACTATGATTGTTCCAAAACTGTTTATTTTGTTCGTGTTATTCAGATATACTAAACTCTAGACATGACACCATAGCTAGGTCAAAGAACTGAAAACATTTCTCAAGTTCTCTATTGTCACTCTGGTCTTGTTCCTTTTTGCCTTATACTATGTATCAGTACCATATGGATTAGCCCTTAGTCTTTACTGATTTTAGCGAGAATTTCTCTTGGAGTGTTTTCCAGTCATATGAACCTGTGGCTGATATTTCTATTCTGGCAAGGATTAAAATTCAGAACTAGAGTTTCAAATGTTAATATTTGTCTCTAAATTCGGTCGGCACGTGTATAAGAAGCTTTGCTTTGGCTAGGTGTATTGGTATAGTCTCTAGATTTTCTAACAGTTTTGCTCTTGGTCAGCCAAAGAAGTGATCTATCAGGGGTTGGGTCTTAATTTTCTCAATTTTGTTGTTGCATAAAAAGTTATCTTTACATTATGTTTGGATAAAGAAAGGCGAAGGAAAAGAAGGGGAGGGAGGAGAAGAGGAGGGGAGAGAAAGGGAGGGGAGGGAAGAATGGTGAGTTTTTCCTTCCAAATCTCTCCATTGTTGGAGGGATCAATTTCCTACAATTTAATCCCTCCATTTCTCTCCCCTCCAATTCCCTTCCTTCCTCATATGTTATCCAAATGAAAGATACCTCATCTCTCCATTTCCCTTCCCTTCCTTTCCCTCCATTTCCTTTAATCCAAACACACCGTTAGTGTAAAAGTTAAATTGAATGGATTCCTTAGTCCTGTTTTGTTTTGTTGTGTGTTACTGTGGAGGTGAGGTAGGTGATGTCCTCATAAAGAAGCATTAAGAATATCCGGTACAATAGGATAAGGATTGACAAGTGTTTGTATTCACATTTTTTGTCTATGGAGACTACGCTAATGCTAGCCTCAGAAAGCCCTTTTCAAGATTGAATTGTAGCTTTGATGATCATGTTTTACTTTAATAACTGTGTTGCTGATAAAAGTTGTGCAGCTAGTGCGAGTTCCTTTTTGACCGAAAATGTCAATCGAGACTTTTAACTTAAAATTTTCTGCTTAGAACTTTGATTCTATAAACCCTTAACATGTTTCCTAATTTGGTAATTATATTAGGAATGCAGTACATATCTACCTGTTATCTGATGTGTGCTTGATGTCTGTGGTCTACTATTGTGTTCTTTTGACTGGATTAGCATCACTGTTATCGCTGTGTTTGCATAAATGGGCTGAAGCTGGAAACAAATGGTAATTTTGACAGATCTTGTGGAGATAAATACTGAGAAAAATGTGGACGGTGGGAACGAAGTGTCTGCTAACTATGGTGAACGGCTCACACCAGCTGAGAGACGATACCTTGAGCAGTGGAAGCAACTTGAAGTAAGACGACTACTCAAGAGTGCTAACGAATCACACCGCGATCGGGTTCAAAGATTTAACCAGTACCTGGCAAATCTGAGTGACCACTATGACATTCCAAAAGTGGGACCTGGTTAATTTTTGTATCAATTAACATTGTTTGACTTCTATTAGGTGATAGTTGGATTTAGGATTCTGATTGATGATTGAGATTGTATGACAGACCTGAAAATTCTGCCACATTATGCAGCTGGGGTTGTGTTATTATGCCTAGAATCAAATCCAGATTGTATGAATCAGCAGACATGTTTGAGAATTGTAGCCATTTGTTGCTGGATTTATGATAATTGTTAATATCTTTGTTAATTTATGCCATTTCTCCAACCTTATCAGATTCATGCTTAAAATTCCGTGACTGCAGGCAGATTTTCTGCATTCATCAGATGAGGATAATGTTAACCGCCAAATTGACCATTTGTTTCCATTTCTTGAATTTTATACAGGAAACTTTACAATACTAGTCAACCTGTCATAACCAGTATAACCAGATTGCCCACATTGGGAAGATACGGAAGTGAGTCCAACTAATTTCCTAATAGTTGGGCAACTAACACACCTCTTTAATCCTCAAGCAAGTCCGATAAAACTTTAGCACAAAATTCAGTTGATCCTCTTAACTGGAAAAACAGTAAACAAAAATTCAGATGTTAATTCTGACTGTACTTATATTTATATCTGAAGAAAAAAAGTAATTAGATCTCGTGATTGAAATTATAGCAGTAAAAATTACAGCTTCAACAAAAATTCAGATGTAAATTTTCACTGTACTTTTACTCATATCCGAAGAAAAGGAGATATTATTAGATCTCGTGTTAGAGCAGTAACAATTACAGCTTCAACATTTATAGCATTGCACCAAAAAAATAATGAAACATTTATAGCAGGAAGGTCTGAACACATGCAGCTGATAACAAAGAAGACAGTATATGAACAATAATTGTTACTATTAATCATATTACGTGCAATTTAAAGACGGCCACATGTTATGATCATATTTATTCATTTTCATGAAGTTTCTCTAATCCTTCCTATTGCTAAAATACAAATACGTACGAATTATAATTTATTATAAACCATATATATTTATGAATTTGATAGTTTAGACTTTTTATGTAAAGTGACTATCAATGTGTTACTTGCAATCACGTAAAAATATTTAGTTGTTCACCATGACTATAATGTATTTTCCGGCTGGCTTTAATTAATTATTGGCTATTTCTTCATTAGGTAACATAATATGACCATGATGATTATGATCTTATTGAAGAATATCCTGGATTTCATCATCAACTACTTACGAAGTATAAGATTATAATCAATTAGGTGTACGTTATATATCGAGGTCACCAAGTTCTCTCTTATATTAATTCTTAAGCATTGTATTTATTTATGTAGTTTATACTCGAATTTGTCAAAGTCTTGGTTAGTGCCGGCAAATAATTTATATCTAGAAGGCAGAAAACTTCAAGATTTGAAGTAGTTAGATTAATAATTTGTGGCATTATTATGTTTTTGTCCTAGTTAATCCATTTAATTAATTCAAGAAAATTACATGAATTCATACTTTTTTCCATCTTTTTTTTTCTAGTTAAATTCTATTTTTGTGTAAGACCATTTGGAGACAATGGCAGTTGGCAGACAAATCATTTTTTTTTTTTTTTTTTTGAGGAAAAGACAAATCAATTTAGATCACCTGAAATTATTAATTAAAAATATAGTTTCTCGAATATTTTTCCAATCTTGTTGAAAATTGAAATTTTTTTTCTGATTTTTGGGGACTTCTCAAAAAATTTTGGTTTTCCTTTTTTGGGAGTCAGTGTGTGTCACATACTTGTTTTAATGGAAATTTTTTATAAGAGTTAGGCCTGTAAGGTATCCAAAGTGAATTACACATAGATACCTAAAAAAAATTATACTACTCTCTCCATTTCAATTATTTGTGTTTTTTCACGGTATTTAAGAAATGAAAGGAGAAAGTGGATGAAATACATAAAAAAAATAAAAAAAAATAAAAAAAAAAGTGAAAAGTACAATTATAGACAAAAGTTAGAGAGGGGAAAGTACATGACATACATAAAAAAGATAAAAAGTACAATTATTGAAAAAAGTTAGAAATAGTGGAAAAAAGTACAAAACAAGTGAAAAATTCAAGGGTAATTTAGGAAGTACAATAACTAAAGTTAAAAAAATAAGGGTATAATGATCTTTACATACTATTCAAAAATAGAAATAAGAAAACATTTTGGTTCTCAATAATAGGAAAACAGGTACTATAATATGAGACGGATGGAGTACAGATATATGCTTTCTTCATCCTTATTTTTCTTATAATTCTTATAAAGTGTGAAAGTTTTGTAAGACTTGGGAAAATATAGAAAAGTTCAGAAGAACATGGGAAAGAATAAACCTTGTTTGCTCTCAAAATAGTTACGGACATAGTAGTAGGATCGAGTAATAAGTTCATATTGCTAAATGGTCGATGAGATAATAAAATATTTTAGGGATCGATGGAGTTTTAGGTGAGATTGACTTACACTAATTTGTCACCTCGTCTCTCTTAAAAAAAAGGCGAGTTCATCATATCTTGTAGTAATCTGTTATAACATCGTTTAATTATAGATTTTAAAACAATGATGATCTTTATATTCCTATTTTTAACTTGGATTTATTCTCATGTGAGCACCAAATCATTAATCATATGATATATCATATATTCCATTATTGGAGCTTATTTACCTTCACAATAATGGTTCACACATCTCAATTTGTTTTTCCTATTTTTTTTTTTTTTTTCAAAAAGGAAAGAAAAGTCAAACAGAAAGGACATATAGAGACGAAGCTAAAGGAGGTAAGTAGTAAGTACTCAATCAAGACCGGCACAATATTAGCGATGCTTATTATATGATACACCCAAGAATACACTCGATATATATAAGCCTCTTATAGAGTATTCACCATAGTACTTTGTCTAGTCTAGCTTAAAAATTCAGAATATGAACGTTGCAAACTTGCAAATTTGAAGAGGGGGGGCATAATCCGTACTTGAAGGACATTAAAGTGCTTTTACTCGATGCAAAAATAAAACAATTGAATGGGGCAGACAACATAAATTTTGTAGCACGAGCCAACATTGAAAGCAATAATATAAGGGAGTTGACAGATATCATCAATAGTAATAATTCTAACATTATTAATTCATATCAACAACAAATTAAATTAAAATAAACTAATAATGAAAACTATTGTACAAAAAAAATTTATAGCTGTCAACGAATATTGAAGAATCAGATCAACTTATATTATGTATATTTGCTGTGTAATTACTTGGTATAATTTACTGTATGTATACGTATGTAACACAAAGAAGCACAAAAGTAAAATTAATGAATCTATCAAAGTACATATTATTAATAAAAAAAAAAAAAAAAAAAAAAAAAAAAAAAACGTATAATTTAAAGAATCTGTCAAGTTTTTTTTTTTTTTTTGAACTTCCTGACATCATTGGAAGGATTTGTTATGACAAAATGTGATGAGATGAGATGAATGTATGATCAACCCCCAAGAAATAATTAATGAACATATTATAACATATTACAAAATATGATATGAAGATAATGGGGTGTAGTTAATTAGTAGCCTGGGAAGATTGGAGGTGGTGGTGAACCGTATGAAACACCGTAAACTGGTGGCATTCGTGTTTCGCCGTGTGATGGCGGGGGTGATTGTTCTGATGGACATTTTCCTTTTGGTGGTGGAGATTGTTTATGGTGGTGTTCCGGTGTTGATGGGGTGTATGATGGTGTTGGGGAATATGTTGGTGGACTGTATGACGGCGTTGGTGAATATGTAGGGGTATCTGTTGGTGGACCGTATGACGGCGATGGTGAATATGTAGGGGTTGTTGATGGTGGACTGTAAGACGGCGATGGTGAATATGTAGGGGTATCTGTTGGTGGACTATATGAAGGGGTTGTGGATGGGGGACTGTAAGACGGCGATGGTGAATATGTAGGGGTTGTTGATGGTGGACTATATGATGGTGATGGTGAATATGTAGGGGTATCTGTTGGTGGACTATATGAAGGGGTTGTTGATGGTGGTGTGTAAGACGGCGATGGTGAATATGATGGGGTTAATGGGGGTGTGTTTGATGGCGATGGTGAATACGATGGACTATTGTATCCTACTGGAGGGGGTGTTGAGTATGCAGGGGAAGGAGTGTACCCTGAGGCGGGTGGTGGTGGGGGTAATGATGAAGGTGGATAATTCGGAGTGTTGTAAGACGGTGTTGACGGTGGTGGAGGTGAGGAGTAGTAGTAATCTGGTGAAGGAGTGTAGGTTGGTGGTTGGTATGATGGGGAAGGAGTATTATAGCTTGGAGTAGACGGTGTGTTGTACCCTGGTGATGGTGTGTACGACGGAGACGGTGAGTATGACCCTGACGATGCTCCACCGAAAGAAGTTGGAGGTGGTGTGTATGACGGCGATGGTGAGTAAGTTGGAGTGTAAGACGGCGATGGTGAGTAACTAGGAGTGTAAGGTGGTGGTGAATAGGTAGGAGTATATGATGGCGAAGGCGTATACACAGGCTTCTTAATACAACCAAATGAGTAACAATCAACGGGTGTAGCCAGCGGTGAGGCACACTCCTCAGCGGACCTTTGATTCGCCTCACCAATGATACAATTTTGAGATCCATCGATAACCTTACCGGTCCCGGCCAAGGCGGAACACGAGGGTGCATCGCCAGTAAAGTAATTGTGGGAGTATGTAAAGTTTTGGAGGTTTGGAAGCAAGCAAATAGCTTCTGGGATAACACCAGTAAATTGATTGTAACCCACATCTAATTGTTCCACGCTAGCCATTCCATTAATGGTTAGTGGCAATGACCCAGATAAATTGTTGTAGCTCACATCGAATACCGTTACGTGTTTGAGGTTACCGATTTCTTCGGGTAAACATCCCGAGAGATTATCATTGGACATTATAATCTCATTTAAGGTGTACCCCATGTCACCAATGCTAGAGGGAATGCACCCTCCTAGCTCATTGTTAGCCATGACCAAAACCGAAACCGGGGAATTACCCATGTTTTTCGGGATCCCGTACTTGAACCGGTTGTTATTGATGAAGAGGGCGTCGAGTGGCTTGTCGAAGATGGCGGGTGGGATCGGCCCCTCGAAGTCGTTGAACCGGATGTCTAAATACTTCAATGAGGGTAAATTTAGGAGGGCTGGAGGGAATTTACCAACGAACCGGTTGTTACTTATATCTAGCTCGAATAGTAGTGACATTGAGCAAAATGATTTTGGGACGGTCCCACAAAACCGGTTAGAGTTAATGTGGAACACCGCGAGATCGGATAATAATCCGAGCTCGTCGGGGAGGTATCCGGCTATGTCAGCGTGGTTAAGGTCCACGCTGGCAACAACCCGGGTTGGGGTGTTATCATAAGTATTACCATAATACGAGTCAGAACTCGTATTAGGTAGCATTGCACAAAAGACACCATTATACGAACAAACATCAGGACCCTCCCAATTTCCCGTGAAATTAGAGGGGTCCGATAACATAGCGTTTTTCCACGCTTGAAGAGCAATGTAGGCTTTACGAAGGTGATCATTCTCAAACTGAACACTGGGATCAACCGTTACATTTTCGGGACCATTCGACGAGTCCATCGGGTTGTAGTAGCCGTCGACGCTGCCATCAGCGATCGACGAATGTACGAAAGAGAAAATGAAGAGGGAAATCAATAAGAGGACGATGTGTGGAGATGGAGAAGGAGCCATCTATGTTGGGGTGGTGTAAAGAGAGAGAAGAAAGAAAGCACAATTTTTGAAAGTTTAGAAATGAATCTTGGTGTTGATATATGGTGTTACTTTGTTGGGTATTTGTTGACGTGATATAAAATAATGTTTTACTGGACTACTACTAGTTAGTTTTAATTATTTTTATATCAATTTAAAGCTAATATTTATTGGGCTGCTGGCCTGACATAGACATTTAATTTTTGTACTGGTAGACTATTTCCCATTATTAGTATTTTATTATTCAAATAATTTTTATAAACATAATATATAATTACAAAAATTAGGAAGAAAATTAAGGAAATTAAAAGAGTTGGTGAGCTGTGATTGGGAGAAAATACATTGGATGTCTGTGTGTTGATTGAATGTTAAGTTAGTGAGTTCCTCGTCTTTCAAGAAAATAAAATTAATAAACATAAAAAATATTAATAATAATAAAATTTACAAAAAAAAATAAAAATAAAGAAGAGAGTTAGCGTGTGGGGCCATACTAGGAGATGCAGGCAGCGGCTAATTTTTATTTTTTATTTTATTGTGAAATTTATTTGGTTTGGAAAATAAAAAGATTTGTTGTTTAGGGTTTGGTTGGTAAGAGGTAAAACTAAAAAAACAAAGAGATAGGAAGATATATAATAATGGAGACCATGGCTTAGCTGTGATCATTTTGAATGGCGGATCCACCACCGAATAACCTAGTTTACTTGCACCGAAATTCGTGCCTTTTTTAATTTTAATAATGGCCGCGTATAAGCGTTTACACTTGTTTTATTCGTCTTATTTTGTCTAAATTTATTTTATAACATACAAAGTATTATTTAGAAATAAATTATGAAGTTTGATAAATCTTTACTTTAAATAAACTTATTTAAACTTGTTTTTATCTAATTTTATCTGCAACCTTTTTAAGTTGTTTGCAAATCAATACTAGTCATAAAATCCTTATACATTCTTTGACTGGGCACTAAATTTAAAAGTGCATGATAAAATTACATTTTTTTTTTTTATCAATAAAATCAATGTCTAAGCCAGCTTGATATGAGTAATGAAAATAAAGAAACACAGTACACATTTTTAAGGTTTAAAGTTGCACTGCATTACTAAAAGCATTGATATGAGGCATCTACACAAAATTACAAATTAATACGCAGTAATATTTATTGATGCCATTAATAATATCCAATTCTGTCACCCTTTTTTTTTTATTTTTTTTTTTATTTGCTAATTTGATATATATGAGCAATAATATGCCTTTGGTTATACCTAATGCTAAATGTATGGAATCAATGTATCCGAATATTTGTATGATAGAAATTCACATTATTCTTGACTACCAAACATGACGCAAGTGCTATATTCCCAATATTAAGATGGTTCTATAGTACATCAAAATTAAATAATAATACATCAAAACATCAAACAATGAGAGAAATGTAGATTACATTATTTGAACCAACATATTCTCGTATTTTTAAAAGTATCACAAACTTTTGTTTTAAATTTGTTTATACAAATCAAGTACTTTAGATATCTTTTAAAAAATGTTGAAAGTAAATTTTTTAATCAAGGTTTAATCAAGTTTGGCCTAATCTGTCTATTGAGTGGATTGTGGATCAATTTCAAATCTAAACTCATAAAAATGTACAAAAATTGGTCTAATAAATCCAATTCTCATTTACTTCCTTCATTTTAAATTAAATATAACAGTTTAACTTTTGTACCATTTATTTCTTTTACTTTGCTAATAACCTTTTATTAGCATGTAGCTATATATAAACAAATGTTTTTTCGTAATGTAAAAGAGAGAGTAAAGATGTTTTCAAATGCACATCTTCTTTTAACCTTGATTACTTCCTAACTTACTGGCCGGATTGTTTTTTTAGCCACATGTAGTTTTACTTTGACACTATTTATATGCTAACATTCACTACATTTTTTTTTTTTACCAATACATGAAATTCAAATATTAATTATCGTGTAATATGCTGTTAGATTAATATATATCAATATATGTTTTAAATTATACATGGTTGCATATATTAATGGTCAAAGCTTAAACTTAAGGATTGTCACGTACATTATCTAAATTATTTCGAATATTTAGAAATGGAGGGAGTACCATTATTTATACTTTCTTAGACCATCTCCAATGGTGATACTTAAGGGAGCTTTATTAGGAGAAAGAGAGTATTTTTGCAAAGGATACCAATAAGTTGGTACCTAAACTTAGCAACTCCAAAAGAAACTTGTTAAGTTTAGATACTCAATTTTGAGTCTCATTTGACAAAAAGTGTGGACCCTTTATCAATATTATAATATATTTGTAATTTATTTAAATTTTATTTTATTTTATTTTTTTTGAAAAACTTATAATATGGATTTATTGGGGCATAACATTAGTGTATTTTAGAGAGTCTCACCATTGGGAAATTAGACTTCACATGAGTTGCTAAATTGAGAATGAAGTGAGTTGGGTGTTGTTTCAGGGTTTTTTATGTGTCTTGCGGGAGAGTTACAACACCAAGACTGGCCTCTGGACGCCTGTACCTGCAAAACAACAGAGACTCCTGTGGGTGGGAGTTCCGTCTCCAACGATCAAGTTAGAACGTGTTCGGATGTAAAAAGAGCGGAAAGTAAAGGGATCAGGCTCCTCTTAGGAGAGAAGTGATCATCCAGCCGTCTCAGACAGCTTCGAAATCCGAGCCTTAGCTCTCAAGAAGTGCAATTAAAGCTGGAAAAAAAATGCTCAGCAATTAATGTACACGTGTGTTTAATAACTTCTGAGTGATGTTCCTCATGGGGAACATCTCCCTTTTATAGGGTCTCGTAATGCGTGCCCAGTACTAGGTTTCGGAAACCTAGGACTGACTGGGCTTGACTAGGAATTTGGGCCGTTAAAGGCCACTTTCCTAATTGGCAATCTGTCTGCCACGTGTCGTGGCCTGATTGGTCCTCCTTGGACCCCTCACGAGGTGACACGTGGCGGACTCTGGTTAGTCCACGTAGATGACACGTGGCAGAGTTTGCTTGGTTCACGTGGCGGGGTTAAAAATCCCCTAATCAGATGCCCTTCACAGGGGGTAACGTGGCTTGCCACGTGGCGCCTGTGACAGGTGTCACACTCTGATTGGCCAACGGATTTTACCCCTTTTTTTTTTTTACCGTCCCTTGAAATTCACCCCCCTATAAATAAGGCATGTCCCAATCATTTTTTGGATATTTCCAAAAAAATTTCAGACAGAACTCTTGAGAATTTTGTCATTTTCTGAGAAAGAATGAGTGCCGCCTGTTACCAGACCGCCTGCTCTTACAGCCGCCGAAGATTTTTCAAGCACCTTCATCTTTACAGACTAAAGGTAACCACTTGTTTTTCTTTCGTGCTTTCTCTTTGTTTCTTTTTCTTTTTGAAATGGTTTCCCAAAAGCACACGGCACGGCCTAGGTTAGTGATCAGCCGGTCACCGGGGACGGCTGATTCTAGAACTAGGAGTGCCGACTGCCCCTTGCTGGACCACCCTTTGCGAACTGCCCCAAGTCCGACTGTCTATGTGTCTATGCAGGACACCATGCCCAGAACTAAAAGAACTACAAGGGTGACCAACTCAGACGGCTCCTACTTCTATGTGCCTGTCAGTGAGATATCTGACGTGCCGCTTAGCGCTCAAGCATCCCTAGTGATTCCATTTTAGAAGAATCAGGGGAGGAGGTTCAAAATGATATGCCGGGCTTTGTTGATCTAGCCCATCAGGCGGACACTAGGTCTGTGAGCTCAGGCAGTGACTCTGAGCCAAGTACTTCAAGCAAATTTTCTGACGACTCTGAAGAAAGGCACTCTCGGCTGGCAACAGCGAGAGAATCCCTTTCAGTAGAAATGGGAGAAGACTGGGCGGAGCCGTCTGCTACCCGCCGAGAGCAATATGCCGCCTACTATCATCATGTTCCCGCAGGCAGGCGAAAAACGATGGCGGATAAAATAGGAAGCTTCAGAGCTTACCATGTCATGGGGCATGGTTATATCTTATGCACGCCGAATGCCGAGGACACCGTATATTGGCCAGAGGGGTCCAGCTACGGGGACGAATGTTTTTGCTGCTATGAGGCGGCTATTAAGGCCGGCCTAAGATTTCTTCTACATTCGGCTGTGGAGCGAATCCTGGACGGATACCAGCTGGGAGTCTGGCAACTGGCCCCAAACTCTTGGTTCAACATCTTGGGCTATGTTGCCGGCTGAGAAATGCACGAAGTAGACCCCAGCTTTGAAGCGTTCGCCCACATACACTACCTCTGCCGGACCCCAAAAACAAGCGCGACCGGATGGTACCAGTTGTCTAGCCACAAGGGCTATATGATGACTTTGGGGAAGGAAAACAAATGGAATGATTGGAGGAACACCTTCTACATTGTCTCCATCCCTGACAAAGTCAGAAATAAAAAATTTAACAGGTGGAACAGGAACCTACCTTTCCTAACAGGTGGATCTGAGTTGCCGCTTGTTCCTCGTAGAGCCAGAGAGGATATCCTTGACAAAGGCCTCTTCAAAGTGGATATCCAAGCAAATCCCGAGAATGGGGCGAGGGAGTTCGTTCCCCAAAATTATATTCCCAAGTATAACTGGCTATACGATGGGACATATCTGGCCGCCAGTGGCCTTAGTGGAGAGATGCCGAAAGGTAGTTGACCGTATGTTCAAGTGTTTTGTAAGACTTGGTTGATTTTGTGTCAAACTAACTCTTTGATTCATCTTTTGCAGATAAAGCTATGGAGAATCTCTCGACATCAAAGAAAGCTGATCCTTAATACCGCTCGACCATCCTGGGCAAGCGGCCTGTTGTGGAATCGCCTGCTTCACAGGCGCCCAAGGTGAGCCTCTTTTTCATTTGTTTAAGTCAAAATATATTTGTTGTCACCTGCTTCTCACTCTGTGGCTTTTGTTGCAGGGCGACCCCAACAACCCCTCCCCTCACTCACAACCGGATCCGAAGATTCGGAAACAGATGGCTGGTGACGTGACCACTCCTGGTAAACCTAGGAAACATGTGGCCAGTAGGTCAGGGAGAAGTCATCTTCCCAAGTCTTCAGCCGTCCCTGAGGTCAACCGACCTCACAAGGAGAAAGAAGTGGCGGCTGAAGGTATCAA